TTCCCGCAGTGTTTGGTTGGAATGCTTCTGCCAAAGGAAAAACTAGCCACTTGCTATTCTTGTCCTAGGCGAGGAAGAGAATCTTGTCGAAGATTTTTGATCTGTTGTCAAGGCAGATCTCCCTTTTCTTGCCGCTGATCGCACACGCTCTGATACCAATTGTAGGAAAATAATTGGAAGAACAAAACAAATGCAGATCTGTTTATAAAATACTCTGTTTATATACTCCAGATCTGATTTTTTTATTGTGAACTACATTTAGGAATTCTATGTTCCTGGATTATTTATAGACATCAACCAACACAACTTTTGGTACTAATCAACACATCTATTACTAACTAATACAACTTCTAGAAATAACTACCTTTCACCTCCAGAAATAACTACCCCTGTCCCTTTTAAAATTTAAATCTAAACTAATAACTTATGACCAGGAATTAAACAATACGATTAAATCTAACAGGAATTAAAAGATTGGCCAAAACTTAACATAATTATTATAGATTTTTTTATACTCATTTAATTTATTTTTTTTGTTAAACACAACAGCCCAGTAAATACCACACAGTAGGATTTGGGGAACACAGCCTAAAAAACTCACTTTCCAGAAAATGTTTTCCCAAAATTACTTTCTTGATTTTTAAACAAATTCTCAAATAAAATGTTCTGCACTTGCTTTGACTTTGTAATAGGGAGCATTATTTGTGCATGAAAGGGGAGTTTCTGGAATGAAAAGTATTGGCTTTGTTTTAGTTGAGTCTTCTGTTCTTTATGAAGTTTGAGCCAACTAAGGATTTTATTTATTTTTTTGAGGAAGCAAACTAAGGAATTTAAGAAAATGTTTATTTATCACTTCTAGTAGGCAATTATGACTAGAAAGATGCATCCCTATTTTCTTTGGTGAAGAGCCAAAGGTAGTGAAACCAAAACATATACTCCCTATGTCCTGCAAATATCTTCTCTTTGTTTTCCATCTGTCCAAAGTTTTCTGAAGCACATTAGGGCGCTAATATATGTCTACAGAATTAAAGTAAGCCTTTTACCACATTAGTAGGAAATCAACTCGGTTGTTGTTGTTGTAATAGGAGAACAGGTGGAATATTTCTGCTCTTTCTATTTGACTAGTTGGTTCAGTTCTTGTCTTACTCATTTTCTAGAATAGTACTATTATTTTTTGATAGAAGATGATTGCTATTTTGTTTTTCAGTGTTTGCAACTTTTGGAATGTTCATTTATGCCTTAATCTTAGTATCTTACTTGAAGTTCTTAATAAATTTACGTGATAACCTTCACTAACAATAATTATCACCTTAATGATAACATTATACCATCCTACATGGATACAAAATTTGCAGAGCATTTAACGCTACTGATAATTCTCTTTGCAGTGATGAGACATATATGCAGTTTCAAGTAGATGGAAATCTCCAGTATGCATGCCCAACATGCCCAGGGGATTGTTATCAGGTCTAATTGAGTGCATCAAATGACTGCTGAAAAAAAAAACTTTTTCCACTGCCCTTGCCGTGACATTTTTCCTTGAATGTTTCCAGGTCAGGAATCAAGAGGAAGCTGTTCAGGAGCTTTGGAGGAGAAAAGATGAAGCTGACAAGGAAGGAAGTGGTTGCAAGTTTGAGGGCAGCTGCCGGATTGCCATCTCAGGAAGAAATATTTTCAATTTCACCTTATTCTGATGTTGAGGATAGCCCTATTGTATCAAAGAATGAATTCGGTCGTTCATTGAAATTCTCTCTCAAAGGTCTGGCTGAAAAGTCTCCCATGAAGAGCAAAGATTATGGGAAGAAATCTTCAAACAAGAAGTATGGTAAGAATAATGATGAAATGAGGACTTATAAAGGTGAAGAGCCTGATTCTTCTCCCATTGCTGGAAGCTCGACAGAAGGGAGATGTTTTTCGAATCAGGCCGGGGTTGTTTTTCGATATGGTTGCTGTTGACAATGGAGACAAGACGTCTGTCCAGATAAAAGGCAACAAGCACCATAATACCAGTGATGAAGATGTTGGAGCTCATAAAAGCATGTCTAAGACCACCAAAGGACCAAAGCTTGTCATACATTTGGTCGAATGGAATAAAAGTCTATCTGGTTCTTCTTAGTCTGATGTTTCCAGTTGTCAAAGAGAGCAATACTTGCCTACTTCAAATGGTAGGTCCTTCATGCTATTACGGAGTATCTTTTATTTGTTAATTTATTTATTTTGAAGCATATAGGATTGACCTAAAGTTTTTAGCTTAGTTAGCCATTATAGTTATGTAATTCCAATTCACTTTTTTAACTTGTCTGAGAATTGATGAGTGTTAATAGTAACTAAGCACCCGCTAAGGGTTTAGTGCCTAGTTGGATACTAATCACGGGCAGGTAATATCCCAGTGGAATAAGATGGGGCCTAGACTTAGGTTGGAATGTTATGAACTCCCCCTGCAGCTTCACCTTACAAGTTTCTTTTTTTGGGTTCTAAAATTTTCTTTTCAAGGAAAGATTTGTGTGGTTGACATTGCTTCTAAACATTTCTAAACCAACCACATAAATTCATTTTCTTAATAAGCATTCCCACTAAGGTGGGATGGTGGGAAGCAAACTATAGGATATTAGGATGGATGGAGTACTTATGTTATTGTAGTACATTTGTTATCGTTTGGAAGAACTATGTAGAGCCAAAATCTGGGCAATAGCTTGCAAGAAGACCAATTAATTGAGTTTCAAAGTTTCTTTTCAATGTTTTTTTAATGCTGAACCATATTATTAGTAAAATTTTGTAAACAGTCTTGCATATCTTATATCTCTAAGAATTATCATTTTTCATTCCATATGGGAGTGAGAAAACTGAGGTGATTTTAGACCAACAATGTGGTTCAAAATGAAGTTTCAGAAGAACCTGTTTCCCTTCCTGACTCCTGACATTTTTTGCATCATGTGCCCGTCGCAATAGGGGGTGAGGATATGGGTCAAAAGAATCTGAATGAGCATACAGAAAGGAATGAAATTGCAGCAGCAGGTAGAAAAGGTAATAAATATCTATAAAATCTCATGATGGTGTCATTACTTTTTTTAAAAAAAATTGTTTATGGCCCCTTTCCTTTATAATGCTCATGATGAATTCATCTTGTATGATGAGCCAAGATCATCTCAACCAAACGCAAGATCAAAAGGCCGGGGGAAAAGAGGGTCCCTTGATAAAGATAAAAAAAGCCTAGAACTGAAATTGTTGATCGAACAACTGTCAAAACAACAACAACAACAACAACCCAGTTAAATCCCACAGGAGTAGGGTCTGGGGAGGGTGTGTGTACGCAGACCTTGCCCCTACTCGAAAGTAGAGAGGCTGTTTCCAAAGAGACCCCCGGCTCAACGTCGAAAGTTGCATTGCTTGACTAACTGCCACTTCATTAATTAAAGAAGCGCAAATAGTTTAGATATCCATTTTGATTTATTCCATCACACCCCAAAGCCAAAAACAGGTGAAATTTTGGCTCTATCGGAGATGATGGAAATGATCGAACAACTGTCAAAACTGGGCAAAAATCTACCGACGGGTCATCTGTGGGAAAAAGAGGCAATGAGGCTAGCATGGCTGCTGCAAGGGCTATGGAAAGAATGAACTCACTCATTCCATGCAAAAGGACCCTATAAGACCGTTAAAGCTTAAATTCAAGAATCCGTACCCGGATGTGAAGAATTAATGGGCATCTACCAAGGAAGAGAAAGGTGTGATCAAGGGCCAAAGATCAAAACGAAAAAGACGATCACTTTTTGGAGAGAATTCATCAGCCACTGCTGATTCACGGCGGTATGCAAATAATTCATTGGATGAGATGGTGGATGCTAATTGGATCCTCCAGAAGTTGGGAAAAGATGCTGCGAGGAAGAGAATAGAAGTTCATCACCAATCTGATAATACCTGGTAGGTTTCTAGTCAAATCAGAAACCCTCCCACGGGTTTTATTCCACGTTCTTCTCTTACACTATGTTTGGTTCAAGGAATTTGAAAGGGAAAAGAAAAGAAAATGAAGTGGAAAACCATTTTTCTTGTTTCTTGTTTGGTTAGAGGGGAAAAGAAAGGAAAAGTGGAAGGAAAAAAAATGAGGCAAAATGTACCAAGTGGAGGGAAAATCAAATTCCTTCCATTTCGGTGAGGAAAATGAGAGAAAACCATTTTCTTTTCTTTTCCTTTCAAAATCCTTGAGCCAAACATAGTGTTAATCTTATGGGTTTTACTCCATTTCTCTTAATCTTGTTCTTCTCTTTTTTTTGTCTTGGTATTCCAGGCATAGAGGAAAAGCAACAGAATTCTTCTAAGGGACATCAATTGTGGCTCTCACTCTGGACAACGGAGATACCCAGAATGTAGAGCTAGGAAAACAAGGAATTCGGTTCGTCGCAGAAAAGCAAAAGCGGCAATTGATCATTGGATGTTACTTTGTACATTAGCCGGATTTGAGGATGTTAGGGGTGGTTCAAAGAAAAACAATGCCGCGACCGAAGAAGACAGCCGCTTTCAGGTTGGTGTGTTTATTTCTTCCTCTTGGTGCCCTTTTTTGCAGCCATTTGAACCCCCCTCATTGCCTAACCAAGAATAATCACAGCAAAACCAGACACTGTCTTCATAGATATATAAAGAGCCAAGTGCGCGTCCAACCCAATCTTTTGGAATTTTATTGACGTTTCTCAACGTTTCTTTCTGGTTTCTTGTCTTTCAATGACCTCCATACTATAGATCGGATTGCAAGTTTTGGCCACTCCTTTTAGGGTGTGTTCAAGACAAACAAACTCAAGACTGTAAATTTGTGTATCAATGAAAACCGCCGCCGGGGCTATCCTTTTGAACACCCACATACAATGTGCTTTCCTGGTATGTTTATGCAGTTTCATAAGCCTTGTTGATCATTGATGGACATTTATATTCCAATTCTGGTGGTAAGTAAAGATTCATTTTATTTTATTTTTTTGAATATTTTTATGCTAAAGAGTATAGGGCATGTCAAGTGTGTTGCCAACCATGGAGTTATAAGTCAATTACATGTGCTTTTTTGTCAATTTTGTTTTGAAGAATCTGGACTGGCGTTTGGCTGGGTTGGGAATGCCTACTACTGTACTTTTTTACAAATGTTTTTTGTGGTTTCCAACACACCTCTGCCGTACATATAGTGTGCTAAAAACTGTCCAATTGTTAGAATAAAATATCAAAACAAACTGCATCATACTCCCTAATCCCTATTTTAGAATGTGTTTTGACTTAGATTATTTTTCAATTCAATTTATTTACGAATATGGGCAAAATTTAAAAAATGTAATATAGGAGACTAGGAGTGCGTATTTAAAAAAATACATCTAAAGGTTAAGCCCCTTCAAGAATTGAGACAAATCCTTAACAAAAGTGTACAGTTATATTTTTTTAAAATATAAAGTTTAAAGTAAAATGTAAAAAAAATTTACTTAAAATAATCTCATCTTTTATTTATTTGTGAAAAAAAAACACTTTCAAAAAATTTATTATGTGGCCGTTAGCTATGTAATGACGGCTTTAATGGCGGCTCAAAATTCGCACACATGTGAAAATGTGAGATTATTTTCGATGACAATGCAAAATAAAATTATTTTTGAAAAAATGTGAAAAAGTAAGATTATTTGAGATAATTTTTACAATTAAAAATATGATATATGAATACATTTTTAAAAGTTTTATCAAAAGTTTTAAAAGAGAATAAATTGGCATGTAAGTAATAAATTGACAACTTAATTTGGGATGAAAGTACTTAAATACACTACTCGGTATTGTCCAGTCAGGACAATATGTTGGGTAAAGGAGATTATAAGGCATGCCAACTTTTTATATTATACGGAGTACATATATATGTAGTATTCTTGTGTAATAAAACTAAAATCACATTGGCCTAGAGTACTTAAATACACTACTCGGTATTGTCGAGTCGGGACAATATGTTGGGTGAAGGGGAAAATAATGCATGCCAACTTTTTATATTATACATATATATGTAGTATTCTTGTGTAATAAAATTAAAATTGCATTGGCCTAGAGTGAGGTTCGAGCCACTGTGGGATGGTTTATCACAAAGTTCTCCATCCACTTGAGCTAAATATCTTGTTGTGCCATATTTTGCGCATAATGTAATATATGTTTAATTTATTGATTGAATAAAACTTATAATTATTTAGAAAAAAGAAACATAACTAGTACGTAGTATCTAATATACTTATTTACGGAGTAATAAACTTTGTGACGGTATATGCAAGATGATATATAAAATTAACTAATTAAATAGAGTGAAAAACACAAATCTAATATCTAATAATATAATATAAAATATTATTCTTTTAATTATAGTTAATTGACCTGTTGACCCTTGAATTGATCGGTTAATCATTGACCCACCAGCTCGTTCGAGTCGACGTATGGTCCAATTTTTAAGACAATTATTAGGAAAGGTAAATATTTATAAACTCTATATTATAATATTGTTTGTCATTTATTTATTTAAATATAATTAGCTTATGTACTTAAATCCGTTAAAATACTAAAAATAAGATATTTAGGGCATTTTTTTCTGTCTTGGCCTAGGCCACCGAGTACTCAGGACCGGTTCTGTCCATTATTATTATTATTATTTAGTTTACATATGGGATACACACTTTAGTGTTCTTCTAACATTATTGTTATTTGTTTACCTTTGGTTGGGTGTAAAACCACACTTAGGTACTAGCTAGTCTTGGTTTGGCTTCTAATCATTTCAACCACTCGCCAAATAAGGTTGTACTCCGTAGTTAATAAGGTTATATGAGTATTTGATTGACCCCAATATTTAAACTTCAAGATTTAACTCCAGTCTTACAGAGGTTACAGACACAGAATAGTATCGAATATCTGTAATGTCTCTGATCTAAAGTTGGGATTAAATATTGGAGTTCAAATGTTGATGTTGAAATACTCCCTCCGTCCCACTGTCTTTGTCTACTTACCTTTTGGCACACCATCCAATGCACTTCTTTAATCCATTTTATCTTGTAATTTGTATATTAAAAAATTATACAAATTATATATTAATAATCTATATGTTAAGACGAATCAAATAAGATCACACATGACTATTTTTAGGCTTACACATTAAAAGAATTTGATGAGTCAAAGTGCTTAGATGAACAGTTCCAAAAGTCAAAGTGGACAAAGACAATGGGACGGAGGTAGTAGTATTTTCTAAATAATAAGAAGAAAAAACCCCAATCCTGTGGGTCTAAAAGTCGGTCGACGGTCACTTGAAATGAAGTAAATTAAATTTTAATCTCATAATAATATTCCGTAATAGAGACTCGAGCATGCATTTGTTAGATATACATAGAGAGGCCCTATCCTCATCTTATGACCTCTCAGGCAATTATAAGGAATCAAAATCGAATATTAATCCTAATCACGCCTTGAGTGGCAATTAAGTAAAGGTGTAATGGAGTCAACAAAGTGGTTCCTCTTTTGTTTGTTTGTTCTTTGAAACACAACCCTTGCAACTTGCAAAGGAGAGTATCAAAACGGGCCACGAGGCAATTGAATTTCACAACACCTATGTGGTTGCAAAGTCATCATATTATCCTCCCCTAGCTAACTCCTGTCCCCGTCCAACTAACTATATTCATCATCACCCAAATAACATCCTCGTCAAGTTCAACCTTCACAAAATCAAGCCACCCAAGACTAGCTAGCTGGGCTAGGACGACAGGGGGCCGGGGATCACCGGAGGGCGGTATGGGAATAGTGGAGGAAGCCCACAACGTGAGGGTTCTGGGCTCGGGGGAGCGGGCCGTGGTCCTGGCCCACGGGTTCGGGACGGACCAGTCCGTTTGGAAGCACCTGATACCGCACCTGGTGGAGGAGTATAAGGTGGTGGTGTTCGACAACATGGGCGCCGGGACCACCAACCCGGATTACTTTGACTTTGACCGCTACGCGTCCCTAGAGGGCTACGCCTACGACGTGATCGCGATACTGGAGGAGCTCCGGCTGCCGTCGTGCGTCTACGTCGGCCACTCTGTCTCCGCCATGATCGGCGCCATCGCCTCCGTCGCCCGCCCCGACCTTTTTACCAAAATCGTAGCCGTTTCTGCCTCCCCCAGGTACCCTTTTTTTTATACATACCGAACCGAGTATATATACTTCTCTTCTACTCTTCCCAAATACTACCTTCTCCAGAGAAAGAACTTAAATTTTTCTTATTGATTCCTTGAAAAAACAAAAAAATATGGACAATGCTAAGTTCACACCAAATATTGTAACCTTGGCATTGTTGAAAAGTAATATACGGAGAAATAACTTTAAGCAACAACCTAACAACAACCTAGTTCTGGACAAGCAAACAGAGCACACAAGTGGAGAACTATTACTCTCTTCTCGTTCTAAAATGATTTCCCAATTCGGTTTAGAAGATTTGACTAAAATTATTTTCAATACAATTTACGTATTTCATTATAGATGTAAAATTAAAATTTAAAAATATACTCCCTCCGTCCCATTAAACATTTCTCCTTTCTTCCGTCCCACAAAACACTTCTCATTTCTATTAAAAAGTCACTTTTACCCCTTACTTTTTCATACCCTAACTATCACATCATACCTTTTTACTAATAATCTATCCATCAAATCATACTTTTACCCATCACATCAAAAGACATTTTTGGAAATTCAATACCAAAATACACTCCCTTAAATCCCTCCTAAATATCAAAAGTCCCATGTTTCATGGGACGAAGGGAGTATATTTTAAAACTGGATCAAAAGTTTTATAAATAAGAAGTAACATGACTATATTATTTTATTAAATAACTAATGAAAATAAGTAAAGAAAGTAGTTTAAGTTTGACCATATGAATAGTGACTCGAAATATCATTTTAGAACGGAGGTAGTATGAATTTAAGATGTATTAAAAGTTAAATGTATGTAGAGATAATGGTTCTCCACGTTCTTTCAGAGTATAATGTATCTAAAGTCGATCATAACTACTCCCTCCGTCCACAAATAAACTTTACGTTCACTATTCACAGAGTCAAACTTTTTAGTCACAAAATACACAAACTTGCCATTTATGTATTTAAATGTTTACTTTTTAATTATTTAACATCATTTAATTCATTAAGTAAGGTGCACAAATGGCAAGCTTGTGTATTTTATGATCAAAGTGTTTGTGACTCTAGCATTTCTCTTTAATTTTGGACGAATGGAGTATTTTAATGAAAGTTATGTAATGAGAACGCTTAGTTTTATACTGCCTGCCATTTAAAAATAGTCAAAAATGGTAACGCGGAGACAATGATTGTCATACAGTCTCACCCTGTGTTTTACTCGGTAATTTTATTGAAAATTTTCACGCATAGTAGGGGATTTTTTTTGGTAGCTATCTGAATTTGACTATTTGGCATTTGCTGCGTAACTGCCACGA